TTTTTTTTCATCTTAAGATCTACCGAGCGTACTTCCTTTCTGATGTTCTACCTCCGGGTCTTTGCACATGTCGTTGTAATGCTTTATTTTGTCTTAGCAGGAAGCAATGTAGACTGATTGGGACTTTTATCTAACGTTTTCCCTAGGGCACAATCTTTCGCGGAGCGCCTGCGCTTGGGGATTGCTGTGATTCACGGAGAAGCGCAAGACGCAGAGTCTGACCTGGTGGATGGGAGGCACTCCCCACCCATGGTCAGGAACGCTGCCGCCATCCACCCCAGCCTGGAGATACCCCGTGAGTGTGCCACGTTCACATTAGCCGTGCCGCCTTCCTTGTGTGTCCTCGGCTGCCATCGTCTTGTTTTTCTTTTCAAATATGAAATCCTCTTCTTGTTGCGTTTTCTAATTGGCCCAACCTGATAGCACTTTTCCTCGGATGTACGGAGTGTCCCAGGAATGGCCTGGGAGGGGCACAGCCCTGAGGCTAGCAGTCTGTCCAGTCAGGGCAGGTGTGATAGCATGCCCAGACTGGTGTGACGCAGGGTCACACCCACTCTGAGTACCGGCAGCCTGTCTGACTCTCTCTCCCTCACGCGTTCATTCAATGAGTCGTGCATTCCAACGGACAGTTACACAAAAACAACAAGTTTTTAATGCAGTTATTCTCTCTAGTCTTTTAAAAAATAGTTTTACTGGCATATACTTCACACTGTATAATTTGATAGTTCAATCATATTAAGAAGAGTTGTGCAATTTTCACCACAATCAATTTCAGAGCATTTTGTTCATTTTCATACTTATGGTTGTTAATGCCCCATTTCCCCTAACACTCCTACTATGCCCCTAGTAATCTAGTTACTGTCTCTGGATTTACATATGTTGGGTTTCAAAAAATCACACCAAACAAAACCAAGAAGCAAACAAACAGAAAAAACCCCACAACAATAACAAAACAAAACAGAAAAACCTCAGTCAAAAAGAAAGCAGAAAATATTAACAACTGAAGCAACTTGAAAATGGGTCAAAAGGAAGATCACATGATAAGGTGTTACCTTTTAACCTAACTGCGTCTGCCAAAATCGACTTTCAAATGCTCTCTGTGTGATGGCAAGGCTATTCACATCCCTGCATTATAGTCAGAGGGGACTCACCAGAGGCTTAATCTATGTGGGGGCCTTGCAAATCGATTTTGGGCCTCTACTGCCATCCATAGCCTTCTGCAGACTGGGTGTTCATAATTTAAGCTCTGATACCGTTCCCTCCTTCAGATTTGGATTTTGTGTATAATCCTTAGATCACACATTCTGGTGTGCTTCTTCCATTTGGACTTGGTCGACACCTCGCTCGTGTGTTATTTTTAATGAAATTGGTGGGAAAGTCTAATTGTTTTATCAGAAATTGTTCACTATGCAGCCCTTTAAAATAATTAAAGCTTTCTAGGAATGAAAAAATCTATGTGAGAGGTTGAAAATGGAGTACGGGGCTGCATACCGGCCAGAGGAGGGCCGGGCAGCACAGAGGCCCCTCCTCTCAGTTCCAAGTCTTTTGGCACCAAGATGAGAGGTTGGAGACAGAGATTAGAATTTAGCCAGGAATGTGAAGCTGAGAAAGACGTTCTTGAGGCAGGGAAAGAACTCCCAGGAGGGAGGG